GGGAAAGTGAAAGGAATAAGCCATACCTGGTGCAAAATGAGTTTGAGCCGAAAATTAAATAAGATAAAAACTTGATTTCCAGGCTCCTTAGTCACATATTGAAGTATGGGCTTGACTACATATGGAAGTAACTAAAACCCAAGCACTTCAGAGCACCTGTGGGGACTTTTTCTAGGTTGTATTATTTGAGGTGGGAGACCCGCCCTTAATCAGTATCCTTTGTGGTCAGAAGATCCACACCTTCTGGTGGCACCCCACATAAAAGGACATGGAAGAGGTAAGCTGGCACTTTCTGTCGGCATGCCCTTTCTCTCACTTGAACTTGAGTTCATCTCTCCTGAGCCATTCCTTTGCTGATGCTAGAACCTACTTCTTCAGAGCCCCAATGTGGACTGAAAACTGGCAGCTCTCTCAGACCTCCTTGGGACTCCAGTAACAGGCAGAGACTGCTGAGACCTCCAGTCTTGTGGACTGAACAGTTACTGGATCTTTGGCCTTTCTGTTGGGAGACAGCCATTGTTGAACTACTCTGACCACAGCCTGGGAACCTGGCACCGCTCCCCCAGCTCTCTCTCTCTCTCTCTCTGTGTGTGTGTGTGTGTGTGTGTGTGTGTGAGGTTAGGAGCATTGCCTGCTCTTCCAGGGGTCTGAGTTCATTTCCCAGCAACCACATGGTGGCTCACAACCACCTATAATGAGATCTTCTGGCCTGCAGGCATATATGCAGGCAGAACACTGTATACATAATAAATCTTGAAAAAAAAAAAAGAACCGGACAAAAGACATTAAATGATACCACAGGGATTTGAACAGCAAAGTTTAAACTATGGAAAAATCAACAGGATAAATAAACTCAACAAAACAATTCCAAGAAAGCTATAGATCAGCTAAGTATGGTGGCTTATACCTGTAATCCTAGCCCTAGGGCGGCTGAGGCCTTGACTGGGGATAGGAACCCAGCCTGGGCTCCATGGTAAGTTCTAGGCCAGCCTGGGCTACAGTGTAAAACCTGCTTTAAACAACAACTGGACTGGAGAGATGGCCTGATGGTTAGGAGCCCTCCATGCTTTGCAGAGGACCTGAGTTTGGTTCCCAGCACTAACATTAGGTGGCCCATAACCTCCTGTAACTTAAGCCCCAGGGGGATCTCATGCTTTTCTTCTGGATTCCACAGGTACCTGTGCTCATAGGCATGTACCCATACACATAATTTTAAAAGTAAATTTACCAAAAAAGCAAGAGCGGTGAATGTTCTTAACCACTGAGTCATCACTCCAGCTACAAATATTGTATTTTCATATAAGTGTTAAGAATAGTATAATTGTTATTATCATCATCATCATCATCATCATTATTTACATGTGATATTTTAGGCATTGTCTACAACTGAGTTATATCCTCTGCCTAGTTATGGCTTTTTTCCCCCTAAAGTCCTTAAAATTTATAAATTAAGTTTAAAAAAATCACATGACAAATAATAGGACAATTAGGATTTGCTCCAATATAAATTTGTTTTAATAAACTAGGGAAGAGGAATGGGAAGACTACAGGGAATTATAAATGACACATAATTGACCATGACTAATAGTGTTAAAGCTTAATATGGGATTGATTACACTTATCTATCTGTCCTTGAAATTTTCCATTACAAAAGGATAAAAGGATGAATAAGGGGAACAAAACAAAGGCAAAAGAAGGACAATAAGGAAGGATAAGGAGTAAATGAACAATCTTAGCAGTAGACTGGGAGGAAACACAGAGAAAGCTATACTTTTAAATAATCTCCTGGGAGTTTGAGAGATGGCTCAGCAGTTAAGAGCACTGGCTGCTCTTCCAGAGGACCTGGGTTCAGTTCCCAGCACCTACATGGCAGCTCACAATCATCTAGAACTCATGTTCCAGGGAATCCAGCACCCTCTTCCCCTCTGCAGGAACCAGGTATGCAAGTGGTACATAGACATACATATAGGCAAACCCCTCAAATGTAAACATAAAAATGAAAATAATTTTCAAAATCATCTCCATATTTCTCCTCTACATTCCTCAAAAATAACAAAGGCAAACACAAAATAAGTAAAAAAGCCCAAGCACCTGAAACAGATTAGAACAGTGGTGAGAACATGGGCTGAGATCATAAATAATATGCTCTGAGACCAGACCAGCTGCTTGGCCTTGTATCAGCGTTGCATCTTGGTGGCTAAGTATGGATTGCATAATGAGTGATCCTGAGCGCTCAGTGTCTATCTCTCCAATCACTGATGTGGAAACTTTAATAAGTTATTTAACTCTTTTTTTTCCTAAATTTTATTTATTTAGTATGTATACAGTATTCTGCCTGCATGTGTCTCTTCATGCCAGAAGAGGGCACCAAATCTCATTATAGATGGTTGTGAGCCACTGTGTGGTTGCTGGGAATTGAACTCAGGACCTTTGGAACACAGCCAGTGCTCTTAACCTCTGAGCCATCTCTCCAGCCCCTTAACTCTTTTATATCTCAATTTCTTTACCTATTACATAAAGATGATATCACCTCCAGTCTGTTACTAGAAAATTTGAATAATGACTGAGATCACCACTTCTCAAATTCCAGAGAACTTCTAAGTCTACACAATAGCCCTGAGATGATAAAAGGAAGTTACGACTATATGAACTTGCTTCAGTAGAACTTGCATAAAAAGGCTCAACCAGAAAAACAAAAAACAAACAAACAAAAAATCAAGAGTAGGACAATAAATACATACACAGTATCCAACAGGTCATATCAACACTTTACATTTGCTTTCACTATCTCAGATACACACATATTGCTATGGTCAGCATCTTCATTATTTTGGGATTCATTATAGACAGTGAGCTTATTGTTCCTATATTCTAGCATGGGCTTGGGATGCAGTTCAGTTGGCAGTGTGCTTACTCAGGATGCTCAAAACCCCATGTTCTAGTTCCAGCACTGCATAAAGTACATGTGCTGGTGTACAACAGTAATCACAAGCCTGGGATACACAAGGCACTGTTAGAAAAAACAAAACAAAACAAAAAAAAAAAAAACAAAAAACAAAACCTCAAAACAAAATCCAAAGCCAAACTCAAACCCAAATACCCCAAATTAAATCTTAAGTAGCTCTGCAGGCTGGAGAAACCCACAGAAACAGCTGACCTGAACAAAGGGGGAGCTCATGGACCCCACACTGACAGCTGGGAAACAAGCATAGGACTGTTCCAGACCCCCTGAACCTGGAAGTCAGTTTGGAGGTCTGGTTAATCTATGGGGCCTCTGGTAGTGGATCAGTATCTATCCCTAGTACAGGAATGGACTTTGGGAGCCCACTCCATATGGAGGGATGCTCTCTTAGCCTAGACACACGGGGGAGGGCCTCGGCCCTGCTGCAAATGATATGACAGACTTTGAAGATCCCTTGTGGAAGGCCTCATCCGCCCTGGAGAGCAGAAAGGAGATGGGATAAGGAGTCGGTGGGGGGCAGGGGAGGAGGGGAGGGAGAGGGAACTGGGATTGACATGTAAAACAAGCTTGTTTCTAATTTAAATTTAAAAAGGAAAAAAAAAAAAAGAATAAGGGCTCTGTCATACCTAACCATAGTACAATGACCAAGTTCAGGATCACAACACTGATAGAATCAATTTCAGCAATTCATCTCACTAATTCTTGTTGCAAAATTTATTTTTTATTCAAGGATCATTCACTGCATTTGGCTGTCATATCTCTTTAGTTAATTTTATCTAGAGCCATCCTTTAGCCTTTCTTTGCTTTATAATAGAGGTATGTTTAATATGTCTGATATGTCTGGAGAGTGCAGGCTATTGTTTCAAGGAACACCCCCCATCTGGGCTGTCATGATTGTTTCCTTATGATTCAGGTTATGGTACTAAGGTCCTTTTCAGTGCTTCATGCCAGCTGACACATTATTTGTGACATAAACTGTAAGTTGTTGTACAACAGACTTTTCCAAAAATAAATTTAATAAATGACTTATCTGATTGTGTTCACAGTTATCATTAAGCTTACCTGTTCACAGACATCATGGCACATTTGGTTATCCTTTGAATGACTACAACATACAGCACCTAGTGAGAAAAGGAAACACGATGTCTCACTCACTGCTAAACTGTCACAGGATTATGCAACGTGATTGTTCAGTAGATTCTTCTTTTTGTTTTCTGATTTTGAGATAGGCCCTCCTGATATATACCACAAGCTGGTGTCAAAACTCCTCATCCTCCTGACCCAGCCTCCAAAACGCTGGTATCATAGACAGTACCTAAGGCATGTACTATCACATCTGCTGTCATTACTCATTTTAACTGGATCTTCAAAGAGCATCTATTACAACTGAGATGCTAAGTTTGGAGACATGGTCCTTGCTCTAGAAAACTAATAGAAAAGACTATCACATAATAGAAGTAGTTACTATTTATTATGTACTTTCTATGTGATACATTTTCTACTAAGCTTGTTTATATATTAAATTTTTCAGTTATTAAGATTACTCTAGCCGGGCGTTGGTGGCGCACACCTTTAATCCCAGTACTTGGGAGGCAGAGGCAGGTGGATTTCTGTAAGTTCGAGACCTGCCTGGTCTACAAGAGCTAGTTCCAGGACAGCCTCCAAAGCCACAGAGAAATCCTGTCTCGAAACCCCCCCCCAAAAAAAAAGATTACTCTATGGACAATATTTTATTGACTATAACACAAAGTTAAATTGGTTTTAAAGTAGTGAATTTTGTTTAGGACTTGTTGAATTTGAGATTCCTACAGGACATTCCGATAGAAACTCTGGTAAAGTCCAGAGTCAACGCCTAGAGCACAGTTAAGAGCTCAGTCTTAAAATGCTCAAGCCCTGAGTATAAAGCATAAAGGAACATGGTGCTGTCCAGGGAGAGTTTCTACTGAAAAGTAAACACAGCAGCAGATCTCAATGAGCAGCAACATCTGAGATACATGAAGGAACAGGAAATGTGGTTGACATCGAGCAGGAGGGAGGCCAGCCACTAAGTGGCATACATTACAAGGAATGCCAGGTACCCACAGAGATAGAAGACAGAAAAAAGGCTGAAAAAGAAAACGAATTTGCTTAGAAAGCCACCTCCTGACTGGGTGTGATGGTCCATGCTGTGATCCTAGCATCTAGGATGAAAAAGCAGGAAAATTAGGAGTTCAAGGCCAGCCAGGGCTACATGAGACCCTGTCTCAGAAAAAAACAAAAAACAAAATAAAAAGCCACCCACTGAACATCTCAGATAACTTCTTTTTATTTATTCACTTGCTTATTTATTTTGTATGTATGAGGTGAAGGAAAGCAGTCAACATATGGGAAGAAAACTAAGAGAAAGAACTGTCAACAGAAGTTCCTTGAAAAAGCCGCTTTTAGTTGAATATTCTACAGACTGATTAGGACTTCCTGATTGTGGTAAACACAATTATCTTGAGCTATCTTTAGTCCTTAAGAGTCATTTATCATCTAGCTTTGTACCAGACATGATATCCCTTTGACTATCACATAAGATCTCTGGAATGCATTACTTCAGCAGATCATTAACCAGCTTTAACTAACCCCAAAATTGAAAGTGTAATCAAATAGCATCTGAAACCCAGAGTAGAAATCTCCCCACTTTTCTACAACCCACTTACCTAATGTCCTCACCAACATATTTAGTAACCATAAAAACTACTGACTTATTACTTTCTTCTGTTGTCTGACTACAGAAGTTTTCCTCAGTGGACCATGTCATCTAGGGTAACCAGAATCCATGTTCCGTGGCCATAGTCGCTCATATTTAGCCCAGAAGAAACTATTTTTTACTCCCTTTGGAGCAGGAACATATTCTGCTTGCCAGAGCAGCAACCAAGAAACCAAGTAAGTAAAATGCTTCAAGACAGTGGTATATGCTATATGCTGCTGTCATGTGAGTTGGGATTCCCACTGATTACAATATTTATGATTCTAAAATATACTGTTGTCAGTGTGGACCAGTAAAGGCAAAGCTCAGTTGAAGAAGGTACACACATCCACTTTCCAGGAGTATAATGAAGACTCTGGATAGCTTTTGTTCTAGCTCTTAAGAGGGAAGATGCTAGATCCTTGGAATTTCCTCAACAATAGGAGTGCCTTTGCTATGTGATAGGAAGTAATCCAACTGGATAGCTTCAGGAGGGGGACTAGCCAGGCCTGAAGGACTAGCCTGCAACCAGAGGACTGGGGATTTGAGTCATTTATCAACGTGACCTCTCAATCACTAGTGGTGGAGAGGGGAAACGGAGATTGAATTCAACCATTTGGCTAATAATTCAGTTAATTCTATACAATGAAACTAGATAAAGCCTGACACAGAAGCTTAGTGAAACCTCCTGGCTGGTAACTACATTAATGTGCTGGGGAGATTTTATATATGTAAATGTACATTGATTCTGCTGGTTCTGGTGGCACATGCTTTTAATTCCAACGGGGCACACAGATCTCTGAATACAAGGTCTGCTTGGCCAACATAGAGACCTGGCCCTGTGAGTCTTTATTTGGCTGTTCCTCCTGGTTCATACACTTTATATAAGACAGCAGTCATGCACTCAGCACATAATCTACCTTGGAGCTACTCCAAGTCATTTTAAGTATACTGCTTTCCTGAGGTCTGAGTTGTTCTTGGGAGCTACTACTGATCCTGGGTCATGGGAACAAAGATCTATGTCCAGATCAAAAGTACATGAGGAGGCTGGAGAGATGACTCAGTGGTTAAGAGCTCTTGCTACTCTTCCAGAGGACAGGAGTTCAATTCTTAGCATCTATATTAGGCAGCTCAAAACTCCCTATAATTCTAGCTTCAGGGAGATCCAACACCCTCCTCTAGCCTCTACAGGCACCTACAGAACCATGGCATACACTCATAAAAATACAATAATAAGTCTTTTTTTTTTAAAGTGAGTTAATCTTTTTAAGTGAGGCAGGAGCTAGCTTCCCTCAGGCAATAAGGATAGGGCTCATGGTGGACCAAGAGCTAGCTGTACAGTACAAGACTCCTTCCCCTGAGTAAGTAACTCTGGCTGGGCCTGTGGACACCTTAACGGCATAGTCCCCACGTCCTCAAAAATGATCAATTCCAACAGGAAATACCCCAATCTCCACTTAGTCCCTGTCACAGAATCCATGAAAGACCACTGGGCTGGGCAGCAAGCCAGCACTCTTCCAAGGGGGCCCTTCCCACTCCCAGGAGTTCTTTCTTACGGTTCTTTGATAGATCTGTTTGCTCCAGTTAATCCTTGTCAGTGTTTCTTATTCTTGGGCATGAGACATCATACTCAAAAACCACTGGCTCAGGGGACTTTGGTGACTGTCTAATGTCCTCAATTTCCTAGATAAGGTCACTATGAGCCAAGAAAGGCTCCACTGTACTCAAAGGACCTAAAGTAAGGCTGGCTTATGTAGTAAGCAGTCTTGTTAGGTCCATGCTCTGTAGCCTGCAGGTCTGTGCAGACTCTGGGTGGTTATGGCAGAACTGGACTGTAGTATACCCAACTGGAGGTCAAGCAAAACACAGTGAAATGAGGTGGTTGATAGAAGATGTAGGCTCAAGAGGAGGCCCTGAGCTTAAAGACGGGGACACAGTAGTGAACAAAGAGCTGTGTTCTTTAACTTCAGGTAAATTACACAGTCCTGTACCAGTATAACTAGAACTTTAGGCATAAAACACTTTAGGCTCTGGCAGCACCAAGCCTGGTTAGGTTTGGCCACCTTTTTTTTTTTATCATTTTTTTATTTGAATTAGAAACAAGATTGTTTTACATGACAATCCCAGTTCCCTTCTCCCTCCTGTCCTCCCCTACCCCCCCCCCCACTAAAACCCTACCTATCACATTCCCTTTCTTCTATTCGTCCCCTGACTCAACCTTTCTGCTCCCTCATGACCTCTGTATCCTTCCTCTTCTTCCCTTCTCATTCTCCTAGCTCCCTCCCACCTCTTCCTGTACTCTCAATTTGCTCAGGGGAACCTGACCCTTTCCCCTTCTCCAGGCACATGTCTCTCTTAGGGTCCTCCTTGTTTACTAGCATCTCTTTGGCCACCTATCTTAACACACCAATTAAAGAGATGAGTAATAATAAAAAGGACACAGCTAATAAATGTGCTTGAAAGAGAAACAAAAGGGTCCAACGACTCCAAGTTTGTCTTTAGGGTACTGATAGGAACTTTCATTTTAAACAGAAAAGGAATTGAAGCAGTGGGCAAGAGACTTATATAATTAATCAGCCCTGGTTAAGGTGTGGTCTGACTGAGTGTTGTCTGTTTTCTCTTCCCAAAGAGGGTCCTAAGAACTTGTTAGAGCTGTCACAAGCTCCAGAGGACCAATCTGGTTCCTAAAGGGCAATTAGTTTTGCTACAGGGGGCAGAGGGAAAGTGGGCTGTTCTGAAAGGTTTGGCTATTCCTACTCTCTGTGACTTCAGTCTTGAAGGGAAACAGGTACTCCTTGAAGTGATTAACATGCCTAGAGTCAAGCAGAAGTCAGAAAAAGAAAAGAGACAAAATGAAGGAAGAGGTGCCAGGCTTTGTCTTGCTTTTAAGTCACCTTGTGGGTCAGTGAAGAGCTCAGTGCCTTTTATTAAAAGCAGTTTCTAAGCAACTGTTGTAGCAGGATGAAATCCTGACCAAGGAAAGCATTTAAAGACAGTGCTAAATGAGGAGGGAAGGTGACAGCATCTACCTTCTATGTGAAACAGACTGAGTATGATAACAGGATTGGGATGTGTCATGTTGTGGGCTTGAGCTGAAACTGTCAAAGTCTAAACTGGCCCTTTTAAGAATTGAGAAAGGAGGCAAATGGAGACATGTTTTTTGTTGTTGTTTGTTTTGGTTTTTGGTTTTCCGAAACAGGGTTTCTCTGTGTAGCCCTGGCTGTCCTGGAACTCGATCTGTAGACCAGGCGGCCTCAAACTTACAGAGATCCACCTGCCTCTGCCTCCTGAGTGCTGGGATTAAAGGTGTGCAGCACCACAGCCCAGCTGTACGCAAGGTTTTAAAACTTGTGTTCAAACAGGCTTCTTTTTAAACTTACATTTTAGACAACTACATCTGGTA